CTTCTCTCTGCCCAGCTAAGGGGGAGCTAAGCTGGAAGCGGGTATCTGTAAACTTTCTGCACTGGTGCCACTTCTCCCTGCTCTCTTTCCCTGTTCCTCCTTCCCCCCTGCCCCACACACACACCTGATTGCAGCATGGCTGGAAGCTGTACCCACGCCTCAACTGTAGAGGGAGGTGTGGTGGGGGTGGCATAGGCAAAGCCCCTCACTACTGATGCACCACTTGAGCTACCTGGCCCACATTGAACTGGAGCTGAAAGACTGGGGAGAGGTGGCAGCAGCACAGGCACAGCTGGAAGTGGTATGGCCTCAACACAGCTCCTTGTTGCCTGGTCTGGCGCAGGCACAGGCAAAGCCCTCCAGCTCTGTGAGCCAGATCCAGTGGTTTTTTAGGCCAGATCTAGCCTGTGGGCCATATGTTGCTGACCCCTGCTCTAGAAGTAAAGGGAAAGGGGGTGGAGGATAGAAAATTTTCACTGAAGTTAATTTTAAAGATTAAGGTTTAACTCTTTTAGCTTAGTACTGAAAATCCTAGCCAGATAGCAAGCTTCATCTTGCCTTTCAAGCAATACATGGAATTTTCTGTTGCTTCTGAATTCTGACTAAAACAGAATTATTCCAGAATCATAAGCATGTGAAAGAATGTTATTTAAAAAATGTGGAAAAACACAGGGAATGGGGAGTCCCATGCGATAGTGGGTTAGCTGCCTTTTTTTGTTTTTTACCATGGGTACAACTGCAACCAAAAAATCATGGCTTTGGCTTGCTTTGGCTCTTTCGCTATGCTGTGCATAGCTGCCTGTGATCAGAGGCCTGAAGAAGAATCTCTTGCATTCGAAAGCTTGTCTAAGTTTACCCCAACTACATACTTGGTCCAATAAAGGAGATCACCCTAAGAAATCCTTGCCTCTCACAATTTCTGAACCATTATGGCTACAGCATCACTCTTACGCTGCCTTTGACTTTGTGTACATGTCAGAGTGCTGCAATACAATTTTTCTTGCAAATGGATATCTCATTTATGCAAAGGACCAGGACAGTGTTGCAGAAGAACTAGCCTTGATGTCAGGGCTGAAGTAGAGTAGCAGCAATTGAGAAAGGAACTCTTGAACATTGTCCGCCTGGAAAGTAAATGCAACTTCAAACATACTTGATTTCCAAGTTGAAAGTCAAGTCCTGTTTGAGTACATTCATTATTTATTGAGTCAGAATGTTTTTTGTTGGAACACAAGTTTTTCTAAGAGCAGCAGTAAATAGAGATGTTATGTAAAGCTGGGACTTCTGTGTTGTGTGGGGTGGGAGGGAAGTTGAGGGATATTCAAGAGAGGGGTTTAATTTAATGTCTTTAATTCCCGCTCCTCCAGTTTACACAGCATAATTGCACCCCTAAGACACACATCCAGTGTACTCACAGAAAAGGACTACAGAAACATATTTAGTTGGTAGCTATGAGTTAGGAGGTGCCAGATTTATAGATACCTGTGTAACCTTAATTCTGCCCCTTTTGTAAACTCAGCCTATTGTGGTCGTGAGAGGGGTCCTGAGGAAATAGTAGCATCTGATGATGTGATAAGTACGGTGTCATTGCACCTCTGCACAAGGGAACACAATTAAAAGTTGTTCCCAGTGTGCGGTGGTGGCGGTGGTAGTGACATAGTGGAGTGGCTCACTTGTTTTGTTCACATCCAGTTATTTTTTGCAGTCCTTTACAAGTCACCTGAGGCTTACTCACTCTGGTCATGGCATTTCCGCTTTCCAGCTTGAATCTCTTCCATCTGGCTGACCTGTTTGCCTGCAGTTCAGTCTTTTCACCACCAAGGACTATTGTATTGGGCAGGCAGCCAGAAGCGGCTTCTCTTCCTCTCCCTATCCTCAATCCTAGCCAGTAATTGAGTATGGGAGTGGGGGGGGAGAAGAAAATAAAACTCGTGATACTGCCCCAGGTTCCCCTCCCTGCTTTGCAGTTAGCTGCACCAGATTTCTCCCATTTATCTCCATTTCAGGCCCTCTCAGCACCAGCAAGCACATATTCTCAGCCATCTGCATAGCTTTCTGGGGCCCAATAGCCCTCCTGCCCTACAAGATCCCCAACTTCCCACTCAACTTCTTCACCCGGTTAGAACCCCAGATGCTCTTGACCACCCCCTCGCCCCGGGCGCATGCATGCTACTACTGGGGGCAAGGCATGTTGACTGTAAGCTTAAACTGGTAGTGAAGTGAAAGATGTGCTGATCAGGTTTAGATGACTTTTCCATAAAATGTCATACACGGCATAATGCAGAATTTGGCAGTTATGAGGTTGGCATTCTACCAGAATATTCCAGAGGAACACGAGCAAGATAAGGGAAATGATGATTTTTCTTTTAACTTTTTATCTCGGTTAAACCTGGAGAGAGTTTCATGGGGGGAAAAGAAAAGGTACTTCTGTCGCCTGAAGGGTTTCACCCTGCTGATTTTCAAAGGCTTGCCTACAATCAATGAAGTTATTAAAGCTCTTCTTAAAAAAAAGAAAAAAGAAGAAAAACTAACAATTTTATACTGCTGAAAATGTTAAGCAACTTTAAATAGAGCCATCTCTACAAACTCTCACTATAAGATACAGTATATCTACATGGGCAAGCAATGTGTATATTATAAAATACAATTTTAAATGAGGTAAGAGGAGCCTTTCAGTCAAGAGTTGAAGTCTTCTGGAAAAAAATTAATTATTTAGAGCCTTTTGAGAGATTGGTGCCTCTAAACTCACAGTTCAAAAGCGTCTTTTGGGGTCAGGCTTGCTTACTGCCAGTACTGGTACATTCTTCTTTCCTTGAAATGAAAATCTTCCTCCCTCTACCCTTATGCAGCCATGTACGGGGGACGGCACTTAAGCTGTCACAGCAGTGGTAGCAGAAGTTCAAATTACAGGCAAATAAGGTTTTCTCTTAATTTTACAAAGAAAGCATAAGCAACCCTGTATATCTTACTGTACAAGCGCCAAAAAGCACCAGTAGTAAAGGTTATAGAAATAATTGCACAGTTATTTGGAAAGACATCTTACCTGATAAAGTGAGCTGATGGTCATAAAAGCTTATGCATCTGATTTTAATCAGTCTACGAGGTACATCTCAACCCTGCTTTCTGCCAGATATAGGACTAAGAGGGCCAACTACCTCTCTATGCCTCCATCTTGCAATGCTACGTAGTAAGGTTTATAGATTGTGTATTAGCAAGAATTTTAAACTGAGAGCATCTCCATGGCCACATCTACACGAACGGCAGACTGCACGATAACCAGTGTTACTGTGCAGTCCCGACACCATATGGCTATTTTTTTTAAAAGCTACTGCTCAGTGGCTAATTACTACCACACAGTAGCATCAGTGTCACAGTTTGTGCCCAGCGGTGCTACAGCAACGTAACGTCTCATGTAGATGCGCCCAGTCTACCTTAAATGTTTAAATTCCAGAGACACTGAGATGCCTTAACAACCATGGTGGGATTTTTATTAAGACTTGTTGTGCACAATCCACAAATAAAACACTTTGGTGCTATTATCTGCTTAGGCTGCAATGAGACAAGCCATACCTCACAGATGGACTGGCTTTATATTGGATACTTTAAAATCATTTTCAGAAATCTCTTAGCTATAGTAAAACTTTTCAAAGACATATCAGAAGCTAGGCTCCTAAAGACACAATTAGGCTCTTGAGAAACAATCTGACTTCCAGAGGAAAACCATAGTTTTCAGTGCCTTCTTTAGCAGCTAACATTGGTCAGTGCTAGGGAAAATCAGGTCAGTTCTGTTCAGGGGCCTTGAAATAGCTTTAGAACTGTAGCATTTTAGATCACCATGGTTGCTTGGATACAAAAATTTAAATTCTCATCAAGGGGTGTCCAGTAACTTCCACATTATGCCTCGTATTTTTCAAATAAGTGAGGCTGCCATTATTGTATTTTCAAGTGTAAAGAGCTCATTTGTGAGCATACCCATTCTAGGTAATGATAGGCAGAATTTAGGCATGTACAGTTATGTAATGCAAATACAACTATATTATTCAGAAGCTGGCCCTTTTTGCCATTCCAGAGACTATATTAATAGGCATGATCTCAAGGCTTTGCATCTTTTGTGACTGGTTTCTTTAGTCCACAATAAAACATTTGTCAAGCCTGATTGAAGTTGTAACAGTTCCACCCTTATTACAAAGCACTGTCTCTACTTGATAGCCTGCTCTCTGTATGTCTTTTCATAGCATCTAATGAAGTGAGCTCTTACTCATGAAAGCTTATGCATCTCTAATTGATTCAGTTAGACTATAATGTGTATCTCTACCATGCCTTCTGCCTCACTTCAGACTAACACAGCTAAATACCCCTCTAAATAAATAAATTTGTCTTCCACTGTATCATCCAACCTGTGCACTCAATACATCATTGGCATATAGAAGTTGTATGTGATCTTACACCCAAAGACTCATAATGCATATGTGCATTGGTAGAGTTGAAAGTTGCACATGTTTTGTACACTGTGCTTTGCACCCTTCAGCTCAATCAAGCTGTGTGATTGCAGCAGATGTATGCATACCCCAGCTGGCTGTAATTTAGCCAACTCAGGCACTGATAAGGAATGGACTGCCACTTAGTCATTAACATTATGAGAGGGTTTTTTTGTTTTTTGGGGGGTTTTTTGGAAGTGTGACTGAAAGCAGGTAATCACCCACAGGTTGCAGATGGGATGTTGTAAGGCTATAGCTGCCCAAGCCACTGGGTCAGGACATGAAGCCCAGAGTGGTGTGGAGCTGTAAATATTGTAGTTGAGGAGTGTTGATTAAGGGTAGGGTGACCATAAGGAAATCTGGGACATTACTGTCTCCTACCCACTGTGTCCTGTGCCACCAGCCAAGCTGGTGGTGGTGGTGCTGCAGGTTGGCAGGGCATGCTGCTTAATCCTCCCTGCTGGACTGCATTCCACACCCCTGTGATTCTGGGACTTCTGTTTTACTGTTCACAGTTCAGCTGGGACTGTCCCACAAAATCTGGGACTGTCCCAGCCAAACCTGGAAGCATAGTTGCTGTAATTAAGGGCCACATGAGTTCAAGTGTGTTGAGCCACAAAAAGCAGGAGCATACGTGCATGTGCACGCTGCAAGAGATTAAACAAAATATAGGGTATGACTGTGTTTCACGCTGACCTCAGGCTGACGAGAAACAACCTGCCAGTTTATATACAACTTAGTAAGTATCTAACCCTTCATTCCCATGTGGCCATCTCCATTTCAGCAGCACTCAGCCAGCTGGCTGGAGGCACGCATGAGTTCTGATTCACCTCTGACTAGCAGAGAATGTGGTTCTGAAAGAGGCATCTGAAATCCACACTTTCCTAACAGCTTGGAGATTAATGGAAGTTGGCACCAAACCACTGTCCAGGGCAGTAAGTGCATTAAAGACCACCTACCACAAAGCTAAGAATGATAACTACACGTCCAGCAAGGTCCTGTCTACCTGCTGTTGTTGCAAATATTTTGGAAGCCCTGGGTATGGAGTTCCACAGTTCTGTCTGGCACGCTTCTAGATGAGAGGCAGAGGGGAGGGCCAACAGCACCAGAAGAGACCTCAGTGGCAGGAGGAGAGAGAGAATTGGGAGCAAACCTCAGAACAAGTTCAGAGTGAACCTGTGGCCAGATAGACCTCAAAAATGTTCTGGGGCTCGATTCTGAGAACCTCTTGGAAGAGGAGCTTGTGATCCATCTTGGGAGGAAGCAAGACGAAAGCAGGAGCTGGAGATGCATTCAGGTAAGGGACAGTCCTCATCTTTGTTGTTATGGGAGAAATTGCAGTATGAATGGAAAAAATTTCCAGGCTGTGACTAATTCAGTTATAAAAAGAGATGGCTTTGGCTTCATCTGGGGAATTCCTTCACTACCCTGAAGGAGTCTCCTCTTCTTCCAGCATGGGATCTCAAAGTGGTGAGCAATCCCTCAAGACCTGTGTGGCCTTTAATAATAAGGATGGTCGTGGCTACCCACCTGATTGCTAGAATGCTCCACTTCCCCCTGCCCACTCTGGTCCTTTGTGCATGCACACCAGATTGAAATACATATATTTAAAAGTAAATTAATTCTGAAATTATTAATGTTAGCTGGCAGTGTAGCTAGCAGCAGCTTCTAAACAAGTCAATACATGAAGTTGAAATAAAGGGGTACCCAGTTGGTCAGTGTCAACCCATGGCCTGGTTTCGGTGCTTGAAAAGTTGGGGAAGGGGAGCAGGGGGATTCATTTCTTCTTTCACAAACAGAAGAAATATGCTCTCTCTTCCTTGGCAGAACTGTCTGCTTCTATTGAACTGAGGCAGCTGTATTAGCCTCTTCATGAGAGGACCCTGAAACAGTGCAGCAGAAGGGAAGAGCTCAGGGATGATCTCTTGTCTGAACTGCAGATTGGCTCTGGGCACATGTGAGATGAGCACCTGGAATACCAAAGAGGAACAGGGTATGGAGTGGGGGAAAAAACGGAAAGAGAAAAGGAAGCTCAAGGTGCGGCATGACCGTGCTTGATGATGATGGAGCAAGAACAAGTGCAGCAGGAAGACTTCTTGAGCAGCAGTTTGCACTGTTGGTGCTCAGCTCCAGCCTCCAATCTGGCACCGCTGTCAGTGCCTGCAGATTCTCCTCCATGTGCCTGTCTTGCTGCTGCCTGTGTAGTTACTTGGCAATTCATGCATTGAGTGGGCTGTAAAACGCTCCTAATTCTTCTCCCTTGCTATCTGGGGTAAGGAGAACAAAAACATTTCTGATATCCAGTTCTGCTACCAGTGAGATTGCACTGCTTACACACTATTTTACCAGCTCAGTTTTGCACGTGTTTATACTCTTCAGATATTTGTTTATTGGCAGCTGTGACACCTGTAGTGCTTTTCCAAACACTGCTTTACTACTTGTTAATAAATTGGTTCTGTTGTATAATACATTGTTATGTGAGTGCTTGGGGAAAGATGACGATTTTAGGAAGTTGTTTCTAAAGCCTCTGATATCAGAATATAGATAATGTTAGCCACATAAAAACAATCACAAATTACTTGGTACTCTAAAAATATACAGTGCCACGTTTCTTCATGAGTGTTGCTTTCATGTAAGTATGTGGACATCTGTCATTTCCTCTGTTTGTCTGGATCCAACCCTATGGTGACCATCCTGCAGCCCCCAAGCATGTAATGGACCTTATCTGTGCTTTGACTTCAGGGACTGATTTTTATGAGCTGTGGAAATTGGAGGTATGTGGGCCCCCTGAAATGACAGGGCACCTAGGTGTAGCATCAAAAACTATGTTACAAAGAGAGGGAATGTTCCTTCTTGTCCAGATCTTCTCAGCACCTTCATGGACTTTCTTGCCTAGTATGTCCCCCTGGTTTTATAAACCTACTTTTGTGATTGCTCTTTGTGTGGCAGGAGGGTAGGGGCACATAAGGGGCTATGACCGTCTCTACAGAATTCATATAACACCTCAGACTGAGGTGTATAAGCGCCTGTGGGCAAATTGCAGTATTAATCACCTGTCATTCTTCAATATATCAGTATTCAACAGCTGGTTTGCCAACACCAGACTAGTTAACCACAGACCTGTAGCCATGAGGAATAGCTGTTTTTCAGATGATATTATTCCTGAAAGACTGTTATTATGGTTTCCCTCATTTTTGCATCCTGATGCTAGGGAGTTGGAACAAACTCCTCATGCAGCTCCACAAAGATCCACCTCTTCCTGTGGAAGTTCTGGGACCTCTACTGGCTCTTCTAGGCCACATGATGGCCCAGTCTCAACACTGCAAGTTGTACTGCCCCAAGAATGCTGGTCTACATCTGGGGTATCCCTAACTGTTACTGTCCCCAACAGTTGCAGTAACAGTGGATGTCTCCAGTCTGCTGCTACCATCCAGTATTCATGAGCTCCCATCCAAGACCAGTCGTCATCCTGGGTTGGGTTAGAGACTGTAGCTGAAATATGTCCGGTTGTCTGCTATGCAACACAAGCCAAACGAAGCAGTGTTCCCCTGTGCTGGATTTGCAGTTTGTCACTAGCTAGAATGAATAAATTGAGGAATGTGCACAACTCAGAAATGTACCTGCTAAGAATGCATTAGCAGGTAAATGTTACATCTGCAGAGGGGCCTGTGCAGGATGTGGAAATTCTCTCAATACTGTATGCCACGAACCAGTGACTAGGTTGTCCTAAGTGAGATGCTAACAATCTAGGGCATGCCCCAAGAAATCTCAGTATGAAACATGGGCAACAGTAACAACACCAGGGTGCATGCTGATATATAGTTGCTGGTTGTGTGAAGCCAGGGTGCGTGCTGTCATGGGCGCGCTGGGCAACCACAGATGTACATACCCAATAATCCAATCCTGGATGAACTGTGTAGTGTAGGTATGCCCTTTTATGCTAGATCATTAACACAAAGACTATACACTCCGAGTATTCCCTTTAGGTCCTTCACAAATTAACTCTATAAAGCAGGGGTAGGCAAGCCTTGGCACAAGTGCCAGACCGTGGCATACAAAGGCATTTTGCTTGGCACACACATCTTGGTGGACAGTGGGGAAGGGGGCTGAGGCTGCACTGCCACAACAAGGATTGTGCCCCTTGCGGCTCCCCTGCTGTCTGCACCTGGCATGCCAACTTCTTGCAAGTCCAGGTTGTGGGTGTGTTTGGCTCTCTGTCCAAAAATGTTGCTGCCCTCCACTTTGGGGAATTTGGTGATTTAGGAGTAGCCGTATATATTTTTAGCAAACTTAAGTTGCTTTTAATTTTTCAGTGTCAGAGAAATGGTAGATTGGAGTAAGATTGTGGCTCTGGAGGACTTAAAGAAATGTAGGGAAGGAGGGAGGTACAGTGAGCTGGCATACCAGTGAGTTACCTGAATTTGGCAGATGGGCATCAGTCGCTGAATGCTGACATTCCAGATGTGTTAGAGAAACTGCAAAGCCAGAAACATCATCTTGTATCTCAGCTTTTCCAGGAGCTTCTTAACAATACAGGATTATATTAAGACTGTAAACATGTAAATGCCTAAGACCAGATATAAGAGTTTGTACTCCTGGCTTGCCTTCACAGGCTTCAGGTGTGCACACTCAGGTGCCGAGTGGTTCAGTAGGTGCTGAACAACTACACTGCGATCAACCACATGTTGCCATTCATTGTTTCTGTAGTGCAGTTTCTTCCCCTCTCTTGAAGTTCAATGAAGAATTCTGGCTACTCTTTGATCAGGGAATCTCCTGCTATCTGTATAGCTTGAAAAACTATCTTTCTGAATTTCGTTACAGGGTAACAGAAGTGCTTTTAAATGCGGTCTCTTTTTGTTATGCTCTTATTTCTTTTGTGTTTTTAGGAGGTTGTCAGTCCATTGCATGTTTCCATAACTGCACAGGTGTTGGTCCCAATTAGTGCAGCTGTGTAATGGTCTACTGTATTTGACAATGGCTCAAAAATACAGTTCCCTGAACTGCCATCTCAAATGATCTGCCAAAATGGTTGTCCTGCCAGGGTTTCCAAGGTCAGCTATATAGGTACACATCTGCAAAGAACCTTGGAGCATACTTTAACCTGTTCTGCAATCTCTAATATATTCACATTGTTTTGAGGAAGGAGATTGTATTCAGTAAGGAAAGAGGCAGATATTTAATATTTTTACATGCTGTAGTGGTAATGCTTTATGAAGTTGAAGGGCAAACCTTGTATGAAACGGATTTCACAATGCTTTGTAGCAGTCATACACACAAACAAGCTGTTGCTATAGCAATAGTGTGTGTGTGTGTGTGTGTGTGTGTGTGTGTGTGTGTGGGACTGAGCTTCACAAAATCATCTAAAAGCTTGAAAAAAGGTGTTGGATTTATTTCATTAATGTTTTCTATCTTGCAGTTCCATTGTAGCTTGAAACAAGCTTAATAATTAAAAATATTTAAACCCTGCTAATAAAAAATGATGGATGATTTTAGGATCGTCAATTTACTTACTCTGGAAACAGCCTGGGAGTAGTATTCCAGCTTTCAAATAGCATATTAATCAGTACATAGAGGCAGCAACTCCCTGTCTCTACTTCCGGTGGGAGGTGTGGATCCTTGGGTCTCCCTTCTCTATGCCATTAAGGTATGGGCAGTGTCTTCACAAGGATGACGAGGGGGTGGAGGGAAGAGGGTGCCATCTAAAGCATGTTCCTTTATCCAATACTGACAGAAAGCCGACGTCTAAGTGGATTGATCTAGCAGATGGATCTGCCAACAGGTTTGGGATCCATTTATGTCTTACTGTGCTGAGGTTTATTGTCAGTTGTCTTGGGAATTACCAAAGAAGCAGAGTGCTTTTGACAGGAAGGTTGGGGGGCAGGGGGAAGAGAAGAAGGTAGGTACCGTACCTGTTTTTGTTTTAATATGAAAAATGCTAGATGAATGTTACTATATTCTCTCTAATGGATATCAGAGTAATGCAGTTCATTAAGGTGGTTACAAACAGCATACCTTGAGTGAGTTTTAGGGGTATATAATTATAATGCTGAGCAAACATACTTTGTAAAAAGGGTGTTCTAATTAACCTTTTTTGTCTTTCTAGTCTGTTACATAACAGAAGGTTTACAGTACAATCAGAAACTTGACTTAGGGAGGTGCTATTTTGTTTGACTTCAGAGGTTTCTTAGCTGTATTGGAACTCGGGCCACAGAAACATGATTAAAATTGTGGCTTTGTTCTTCCATTGACTGGAAAAAAGCCAACTTCCAGTGCATCAGTTGAATCTAATCAAGACCTACATAAAAGTGTAAGCAGCGTGGCTTACTTCATGAAAATATGCAAGGGACGGATCCATGGCTCACACCTTCATTAAATATTTTTGCAACTGCTTCCAGCAAGATTGAAAGTGGGAAAGCGTATTTGGGTTGAAAACCACTCTTAAGTTTCTTGTTTTTTGGTACCCCCCCCTAAGGTTGGCTTAACAAGTGTATTAATAGATAATTATTGGAATTGTTGGTTTTGGGACTAGGAGAGCAGTATTACTACATATATAGGTCATAAAGGCCTCAGGTAACCTTTTGTTCTTTGTCTCTTGCCCAGCACCCGTCTAAGTCCAGAAGAAACAGCATTCATCCAACACACAAACATCCATAACTTATTTTACTGATCCTGTTTGATATTCATTTTGTCTTATCTGTTTTACCTACTACATAAAATCGGGGGCAGTGCCTGATACAGACCTAAATATCTTATTTTATTTATTGTGCAACACGGGACAGTAAACAGTGCTCCTCAACAAAACTGAGGGATTGTGATAGATTTGCAGAAAGATATATTCTCCCTAGAATGATAAAGAGTAGCATGACCCCCTGTGAAAAAAACCTGGTGAACTGGTTGTACAGAACCAGTTATGTTCAATATCTGTCACATGAGCTGATGGATGCAATGACTTCTCACTTAGTTGGATGAAGCTCATGAACTCTTGAGGTGATCACACTTCCTTGCTCTTTGGGTATTGCTGTCACATTCCCACAGCAACTCCCAGTTTCACCTTGCAACATTTTGAGAGCTAATCAGACTCATTTGCCAAAATAAAAATCCAAACATAAATGAAACCCTTTTAATTGGCCCCGGGTGAAGAAAAGGGGGAAGGAGGCTTTTCCCTGCCTAAATTTTTAAGTTTTTGTCACTGAGTTAGCATTCATCAAAGCTCTTTACCTGGTACTTGCACTAGTAGATGTAGCTGGTCTCCCACCAGGTGAACTCGCCTGGCGTCATGTGGCTTCCTTAGGTTGGCAGCTTTAATCTAAAATAAGAAAGTTAGCTATCTTTTGGCCTTCTCACAGCTCTGCATTGTTAAAATTGTGTAGATCCAGGTGAAGACCCTGAGACGCATGCTACGGGTGGCACAGGCAGCCTGTGTATGTGGTACATGGTAGATCAGGGAGGGGACAGGCAGCACAG